CTAAATTATCCTGTAAAACATTTGGGAAGAGCAGACTGACTGCCTGTGGAGTGAAGTGGCAGAACACTTCATTGGAAACTGTCTTGGAAAAGAAAGAGGAACTAAAACTTCATGTTCGTGTTACCATAAAATAAAAGAGAAGGAACACTTTTTGTTCAAATACTCAAGCAAAGTCCAAGTCAAAAATACCAAACAAGTAGCTTCTCCTCCCTGCAGCTCCCTCTCTTCCCCCATATCTGTATTAGCACACAGTTCCTGCTATATTCATAAGATTAACAAGACTTAGCAAGGACTTCTCCATAATTCTGGTGTCTGCCAGTAAGTCCTTCAGTGTTTCCTCTCCACAGCACAGTTACCTGTTATAGAAAGAGTAAGTTTATACATCAAAGTCTTAACACTATAGTTACAGAATTCTGAACACCCGTACTGTTGTGCTCTCCTTCATCACATCACACAAAACATTAGAGTTTGTCTTTTGACAGAACTTTCAGCACAACAATCCAGGCTCATCTGGAATCACAGTGATTGCAAAACCTGAGACACAGAACACATGCTTCATTACAATAGCAAGAAGTACCTTAACTGGATAGGGGAAAATAAAAAGGCAAAATAAATTAAAAAGCTTTACAACTCCTGCTCAGACAAAATGTCTTAGATGGAAAAAATAGACAAATCCAAGACGAAAGATGTTTCCTAGAAACCCCTGCAGAACAGTCTGTAGCTACACTGGGGATAGAGTTTAAGGTATCCTTCAGCCACCTCAAATGCTATAAACAAGGACCAAAATGGAACATCACAACATTCAGCAAGTAGCATGACTTGCTCAGGCAGGAAAAATGGTATATAAAAGAAAGAACAGTACTGCACAAAGCATGCAGAAACACAATACAGCAGCAGTGTATAAATTCTAAATGCAATGTAATTTTACTGTAATCATTCCTTACATACATGGTAATAAATCTCTGCTTAAATGTTCAAATATTAGAGTACTGAGCACAACTGAATTTCTGAATGTTCAATTAATGCTATTAAAAGGAATACCACTGCAATCTGAAGCAGCACTGCAACTTCTAAACAACTGTCTTTAGCCATTTATCTTTCTGATATCCTATCAGTTTATGCAGATGTCATGTTTGTTCAAGCTCTTTCTTCATGCTTCTGAGCAGCAGCAGCATGCACTCCTTTATGGCTCATGACTGACACAAGCAGAAACCTTCAGAACTTGTGCTTAGTATGTGGAATTCAGAAATTCCACTCTCCCACCTTCTGGGGGTCACCAGAGAAGCACCAAAGCACCAACAAATTCCTTGTTCCCATTAACTACAATTACAACCAAAGCTTTGAGTCTGGTCTCCTTAATTGAAAATTAGTTTGATAGATTCTGACGACAGAATTCCTCTTCAAACATCAGGTATTTTTTTAATGAACATTTTCTGGAGCTTGCAGAGTAATTCAGCACTTGCAGCAGAACTAGTCTCAGCCATTTTCCATTCTGCAGGCACTTTCAAAAATATTTTAAAAATCGTAATACTTACTGAAAGTCATAGAATATAACACAACTGTAGAATTTTTAACCCCAGTGTTTTGAAACTTTGCTGCTCAAATAAGAGTTTTCAAAACGGTATGTGGAAAAAAAGTAATTTTTCAAATTAAACTCCTTTTTTATTTTCAGAAATTCAGATTCTATCCTGATACTTCTCTATACACTTTTAAGAGCTTCGTATGAGTGCTCCAAGTTATTTACATTAGAACCATTACTCTTTTGAACTGTCTGTATTATTCAACATGAAATGATATCAGCTGTTTGGTACCACACACACTACATCAGCATGATTCTTTAAGCACTTTTTAGGCTTCCATCAGCTTTATTTCTTTTGCAACTTCTCCAGCTTTTATTTTACAGAACAATAAGAGATGCTACTTCTATTTACCTAAACCCAATTCAGCATGCTTACTTCTTGCCCCCTCAAAGCCTTCTCTGCTCTCTCAAGTTCTCAACAACTCCCAAATTAGCATCACCGTGATTTACTCACAAACACTTACAACCTTCCCTTCCAGGTCATTCCTAAGGATACTAAAATTAGCAATGCTTAAAAGACTGCCATCTCAAATAGCAAGGAGGATCTCGTTAAAAATCAAGTTGCGCTACATGTGTCCTACAGTTAATAGCTGAAATCATAGCAAATGAGGTAGAGCATTTCATTTAGGATCTTTTCTCACTTTATTAACAGAATCTAATTCAGACTGAGTATTTAAGTCCTGAGAAGTAACATGAAGAAAGTATTTATAAAAGCATTAGAGATTCCTCGTATCTTGCTAGGTTCCTATTTAACTCTGGAGTAGGATACCAGTAGTTATCAGCATTCATAAAAAACACTGGAACTAATATAAATCAGATGTTGAGGCCACATGCTAAAAGGCTAATGAATACAGCCATATTTTACTTAGGCATACGTTAAGGCTTGAAACAGTTTAGTTATGCCTAATGCATGAACTAATTTACAAACAGAGTGAGAATGAAATACAGAAGAGAGCAATATTCCAAAGACAAGGTTACTTAAAATAATGAGGGCTCATCATAACTTGCTGGTTTACAATTTTCAAGTTTTGACTCTCAACATTTGCCTTCATTTTAAAGGCTTGTTCTTGCCTCAATAAGGCCTCCTCTCGAGTCTGCTGGATGAAGCACCAGAGTATTAAATTCTGATTTTGACTTAATGTCTTGGGGTTTTTTTTGCTAGCTGAAGTCTCTGAAACATGTATGTAAAGATTTCTTTTAGAAAGGGTTATAGAGTTTGAACAGAGAGATGCTTTAGGCCTGGGAGAACAAAATATGACATCTAACATTTTCATGCTAGTTATAATATGCAATAATGTTGTGAATATAACCAATTTTAATTACTCTGCAAATAACTTGGTTTGAAAAAAAAAAAAAAAACAACCAACAAAAACCCACACCACATTTTATACAAAAAAAAAAAAACCACACCCCAAAAATAACAACCTGAAGTTTTCCAAAATGGTGCTGATATCTGTAGTGCTACAACTTTAGATTTGTTTAACGATCACATTAAAGAACTGATGGCTCTCAATGGCAATCTGGCAATAATTCTGGGGAAAAAATTGCATCAAGAGCTGAAACATGGAAAAATCTGATAAACAGGAAATATAACTGAGTTTATTCCTAATCACTGGTTTAGGCAGGCAGGATATCACCCTAGCATCAAGTGTTCACAAGTTCCTGGGACTTGGGAGAATTAAAGCTATATAGGCACAGATGGGGAGAACTCTGACAACTGTTAGTTCAAGATGAAGTGATTTAACACTGGCAACCAAATATTACTTAAATTTTCAAAGCATTAACAACTGCCATCTTTAACCTCAAACTGAGAAATGCACAAAAAAAAAAAAATCAGTATTGATTCTTGACATCAATGCATAGAAAAACAACAGAAACTGCAAACATTTGCGAAGACCACCTTTTTTTTTTTTGTCTTGCTCAGACTCTATGGCTGCAACAGAACTCTGGGCCTTTTTGTTTTATTTTTAAATCAACACCAATTAAAAATTCAAGGAAAAATCTGGAGTAGGAAGTACACTAATTTCAGTATTGTACATAAAATTATTTAAAAAATCATAAGACTCCTATTTTTCACAATTCAAGAACGTAAATAGGGAAGACAGATTAAAGAACAATCAATTACAAAAGACAGCTGTGATATGTCATTTGATTTACTGTCATTTGCAGTTTTTCTTCCCTATTTCCTTGACAGTTTGTATAAAAAGAAGCTGCAAAGAAAACCTCAGCTTCTCACTAATAATCAAAGCTAACAACTTTGTCCATGTCACCACTAGCAAGTAAATTGGAGCAGTAGAATAGGATCAGTAGACCAAAGCAGCTCGCGCGGACACTGCTCAAGCAGGTTTATTTTGGGTTAGATTTCATTTAGTCTCCAGAAGCAAACATTACCATCACACAGGCCACTCAAAGTTTCCCACGGATTTAATAATTGATTCAGGCCTGTATGTTCCCCATAGAAGAGCACCTCACACCTGCAGCAGGACTTAAAAGTTTGTTTTCTCAGAAAGAAATGTAATTCAATCACAGTGAACCAGTAGGTACTAAGAGGAATTAGTTGAGATATTCTGTCCAAAACCATATTAGTGACACAAATCAAAATGGTAGTGCATATACTTCAATTGTATTCTTCCTATCCAGAAAATAGGTATCATCTCACAAAACAGAACAGGCACTGATTCACCAAGAACTGAAGCTTTTGCTCTTAAGTGCTCAAAGTGTTAAAAGCAAAACTAAACAGAAAACAGTATGTGCCAACCTACTGGCTATTTCTTTCAGATTTTGTATCTCAGTAATTTATTTCCTCTTATTACCTGTTCTACTAAATACAGCAAGTGAAAACTGAAGGTGTTGGCATCTCTGAACTTTCAGACGAAGCTTGCAGTATTTTTCTCACTTTGCAATTCACACAGCTGAGACTAAACAGGTCTATAAGCGCTACTACCAAAATTCAACTTGCTCCTAACAAACTAAATTTAAAAGAGCTGAAGATGAACTTGTGCTTCTGTCATTCAAACTCATCTCAACATCGAGCAGTAAATGACTATGGGAATTTAGAAAGAAAACAGATTAATGATATAGCAATATTTGTTTATGCCTGACCTCAATCATCCCAGAGAGCAGCCACAGGAACGCTGTGGCAGATATGCCAATGGAAACGAATCAAGAAACTTATGTTACAAAAGAACTGCATTACAAATATATTTGTACACAAGCAAAGGGAAAATCCAGGAATACACTGCATAACATTTACCTTTCTTTTTCTGAGCTATGTCATTTGCTTATCTAATAATTTAATCTTCTAGATTTTAAATTAAATGCCAGATTGTATCTTAGCACTGTAAGTTATAAACAGGATTTGGTCTCACATGATTAACTCACCCAGTTGCTTAGAATGATTAAAACATTCACAGAGACTCACCTAATTTCACCAACATTCAATATATAGCATCCAAATAACTTTCCAGAGGTTTCTGCAAATGAAGGAATGGGCTTCACACTGCATTTGCTGAAATTGAGATGAAAAGAAAACGATTTTCAAACAATGCCTAAAAAAAAATTATCTGTAAGGAAAAAAAAACTAAATACATACAAACTTTCTCGTAAGTTGAAATTTTAAGAGATGAGATATTATGTGTATTTTAGATTTATTCTGTGTGGGCCTGGGCTTCAAAGCAAAAAAATAAATGACAGACTAATAAGGTAATAATCATTTTCATCAACTATAATAAAAATTCTGTTGAATGATTGTAAGCATCATTAAGCATCTGTGAAATACGAATGCTACATTCTTAATCTATAAAAATTGAAGCAGTAAGAAGTCATCTCATTTATTCCTATATGGAACACAAATTCCATCTTCCTGTAATTCATCAACACCAGAAACCTTTGAGTCTGGTTCAACACAAAAAGTCCAAAATGTTGGAAAACAGTTCAGTACCAACCTGTGATAAGCAAAAGGTGGGAGGGGAAGCATTAAGACAGTCCTCAATGCTACACGGTCTGTTTTCAGCAAAACAAAGTGGAACTACAGCCTCCTGCCTGTCTTGCAAATCTGTATTACACTGTTTCACAATTAGAATAATCTGACAAAGCACGGCTCCTCTCCCTCCTTACTGCCTGCCCAGGGCATAGCTTTGCTTTGGTCAGCAACTTCACTTCTTTATTTAATTTCAGTCAACTCCTCTGATCCAAAGGTAAAACCTGGGATAAACTCTGAGCTTGCTCAGAAGCAATCTCTTTCTCTTTAAATCTTCTGGGTATCAAGAAACAATTTGCAGATCATTACCTCTCTAGAACCTACTAAATAAATTGAGATTTTTCTTCACTGTGATAGATAGAGCAGCCCAAAAATTATGAAAAAGAGAAACTACCTACCCTGCAATGTTACATTTCCCATCTCCTATGGATGGGCTCCGATTGCACCACCATTCCTTCTTATGCTATGGAAGTACAGCAAGTAAGAACAAACCTAAATGATAGTGGTTTGACTTTTCTCCTGAGTAAAGGGGTTTTTCCACAAGTGGTGACACAGGCACATTTCCAGAAAAGCAGAGGTTGAACTGCACGCATTTACATATGCACACACGTCAAGGAGAATTAACAACTTTCAAATCTCTGTTCTCCTCCTATTTCTGCAAATCAGCATTGAAAATATTTTCATCTCTACTTAGCCATTTGCTCATATGGAAAACATTAGGACAACATTTATGAATATTCTGGTTTTTATTTCGTGAAGTAAATATATAAAAATACATTTGTAACTAACATTTATAGAGTAAATACAAAATGTTCTGTTGCTTAAGGACAGTTTTGAACTGAAGATTTTCAGCACTTTTTAAAAAAAAAAGAAAGCCTATGAGAAAGTAACATTTTCATTTGGCCTTTCGTTTCTGTAAATGCAAAGGAAAACAGCCCATGGAGAGAAAAGTGGTAAATAAAGCTGAAGCATGCCTGGAAAATACAATTTCTTGATAAAACAAAACAAATCTTCATGGTCTGAAAAGGTTATTTTGAAAAAGCAATATCTATGATATTTACACCATGTATAAGAAATCAGGATGCTCAAAAAATCCTCTGCTGTAAATTTATAACCTTATGCAGCACACATTATTGCAAACAGTCCATTTTATTATGAATCTTTCTGAACACAAAAGCAGCAATAAATAATCATAACAAAGAAAATTTGAACCAAAAAAGCTAAATAATTATGTAAATATCCTACTGAAGGCGCATTGCACAAATAGAATGAACATAATATTGGGGGTGTGCTAAGGAAAAGCACTGAGAGCACAGAGGAAAGTCTCCTTACTCAGTGCTTGTGCCTGACATTACAAAGGAGCAGAGCAGCTGAGGTCTGTTTACCTATTCACAACCCAGCTAGAGAATGCTCACTTGCTCTGTCTGGTTATAAATAAAAGGACTTACCCTCACCTGATTTGGACAGATGAAAAACAGATGTAGGCAAATCAATGAGCTGGTAGAAACGGTATTTTTCAGAAATCTATCATGCTGCCTCATGTAAGAGCGTGGGATGGCACAAAGCAAATAGCCCAATACTGCAATATAACTGTTCTAGTTTTCTCCTAAAATTTTACTTGTCTCCTAAGCACTTGAGTGCTTGCTCTAACATACGCAGGTCTTATATCTTCCCATTTCTAAGATGCAGCTCGAATCATGAAAACAGTACTGCCATCCCCTTCCATCTCCTCAGAAACAAGCTGATTTTTGGTAAGGCTTGAACTGAAGCAACTTTTGGCGAAGTTTGAATAATAGAAAGAATTTCTGCTCATTAAATCCTGTAAAATTACAAAAAAAAAAGAGGTCTTCGAATAGAAAGCCTAGAGCATCATTAACTATAAGCACACCAACCATCTCCAATGCATGATAAAATATCAGGAATACATAAAGGGTTTCTGTCAGCTGCTCACAAAAGGCTCCTCAAACTACCTGCCCAGTCTCATGTACTCCTCTTTGCGTGACCATGGATATACAATCAATACATGCAGTAAACAGACTGCATGACAAGACATGAACGAATCCTGCAAAGATGGAAATCTGCTCCTCCTGGCCCGTCTTCAGCTGGATAGCACAGAGTATCAAATCAAGGCAGTGGGGAGATGCAACCATTTCAGGAAGATGATGACAAGTGAACAGAGGGACTGCTAATTGGAACCTATTAAGATGCATTTGTTTGCTTTGTATGTAGTTGTACGTTAATGGAGTATCACTACCACTTTTAACAAGAGCATCTGTGAAAGAAGACCCCAACAAGCTGTGAGCATAGCAATGCATACGCTCATTCGCTGCAACACATCCCTGGGAGAGACACTAATTCAGGCTCCTAAAACAGCAAGGCCACATTAGCATATGTCATTGCTAAGGACGGTGCCATCATGGGTTGCTTCTTTTCCTTCTGGTTTCTCAGGCACAACTGTTTTATTCTATGCTCCTGTCTACAGGATGGAAGCTTATTAAAAGCATATTTGAAGTCTGTTCCGGCACCCACACAACATTAATTTCAATCTCAAATTGAAGGGGAATGTCTACCTTGCCTGAGGTTGAAAAAAAGATGCTTCTGTTTAAAGCAGTACTGTTTTAGCAGCAATAAAATCTACATACTTACTTAAATTACCTAGAAATCCATTATGCCTTGAAGAGTGGGTGGATAGCTTTAGTAGTCCAAATGTGATGTCATCTGAGCAGAAGTCTTTTTTGGCACAGTGTTCTGAAAAAACAAAACAAAACAAAAAACAGCTCTATGAAAATGAATCTAGTTGAAACAACTTGTGGATAAGCACTTGATTGCTGCCCCATTTCCTCTGCTACTATTACGGTCACTTTAGTTCTAGCCATAAAGTGTTCACAACTTCACACTCCAATTCTTTACTCCACAAAACTGGAATACACGTGGGGAAGTAGAACTTCAGATGTACACCCCTCCCTTTACTCAGCTCTGAAGTCTGAACTTCCTCCAGCCTGAAATCCCAGCCTGCAGCCTAAGGGTAGCACAACAGTTACAGTTCTGACAGTGCCTACTAAATGTTACAATTGCTTTGCATCAAGTTACTCCGTTCTTCCATAGCATCAGTAACTCACCAGCCACCTTTCTAGGAAAGAAGTACACCGATACAATCTTAACTTTGTATTATGGTTCAGACAGTAGGTGTTATCCACATCAGAACTCCTAGGGAACACAGCATACCACAGCACAAGAAAGAACAAAAGCCATCTTCCCCTCACTAAGGACAAACAAACTTCAGTGAGTTCTGCTGAGTAGAAGCTAACCATACCCCAAATATTTACGTGAGCAAACACTACTTACTTCACAAAAACAACTCTGTTTCCTACAAGTATCAGTGCAGTACTCCTACAAATAGGGAAGAATTTTATATATATGGAACTGCTGACAATTCTGCAGGGAAAACCACTGCTAGTTATCACTGCTGATACCTTGCAGTGATACCTTGCATATGAGGCAAAGTATATCTGTTAAGGCATCCACACATCTACTTTCACCATACGCAAGGAAAACAAATTTCTTTTGACGGAAGATACCTAAAAAAAGAACTTCAAAATCCCTATTCCTCCCCATCTTGTCCCCAGATACATACAACACAGCTGGAAGATGTCACAATAGAGACAAAGAATGCCAGAAAGTGAAGAAGGCTATTTCAAAAATATATTTCATTAGATAAGTCTAATGCGAGAAGAAAGGCAGATTATCATATTTATCTACTTTTCCTTACAGGAGAACATTCTAATATTAGAAATCAATCTATCGAATCAAATCCCAGTATAACATATAGATAAGAAAGGACCAACTATGTTTGGGTTTTTTTTTTTTTTTTTTTTTTAATAGGCTTGGAAAAGCGTCTAGGTGACATTTTAAAAACATTCTATACAAATGTATGAGATTACTTCACATTCCTGTATCAGCAAAGCAAACAAGATTCAAACAACGTAAACCAACCATACGTTTAATTTTCCATTTAAAGGTTGTACCAGTTTAAGATCACTTGGAAAAGCAATTTCAGATAACGTAGCAAAAAACATTTCGGATCCTTTTTGACTTATATTAAGCAATAGTGCCCAAATCACCTCTGATGCCAGGTGCTTCTACAATCCCACCTCAGTGGTGCTGAAACTTATAAAGAAGTCCACCAGCTCATACAAAACCTGAGTAGAATGGGAGACAGCGGCAGGAGAACACGCGTGCCTGAGTTTTCAGGCCCACTGCTGTTGTTCCACCACTCCTTTTAAAAGCAACTGAAATCGACAGCTAAATGTCAGGGTGGGGCAGGGGGTAAGGGAAAGTCTTAGCACTAGGATGTGTGTCCCAGCTTTCCTGCCAAACCGATCAAACCAGCACATTCCCCAACCCTTTTCCTGTCTCCTTCCTTTTTTTTTCTTTTCATAAAAGCCATAATTTAGAAGTTTCTTCTATGTTTTTCCTGTCTCCGTTTCCTACCACATCCCCATTCCTCTTCATCTTGATTCTGCCTACTCTTCTGATGTTATGTTTTCCAAATCCTGCTCAGTAATATATTTTCCCTCTATTCCTTCAAATCTTTATACTATTTGGATTTGCTTTATGCTGTCTTCTGCCTCCATATTCTCACCCTCTTCTGTGCTGGTATCTTACGCTGTTCTTAGAAATTACAACTTGTTTAAGTTCCTTGCTATGACTTACATTCATTTGAATCCTTGTCCCCTTTTCTGAGATCATTCTCCTCATTTTCTATATCACTGACATTTAGATCACAAGCTCTTTGAGGCTGGAACTGGGTCTTTATCTGGGAAACATCATGCAAACCTTTAGCGCAGCACAAAATGTTTAACACTGCTAGGCTGGCAAAAACAATATACAATCTGAAAAAAAACCTCAAAACAACAAAAACATTTTCACCTGAAAATTTGCATTTAGTACAGCTAGATAAGGAAATGTATTTTAAGCAAGGTTACTGAGATGATAACAAGCTACCATTGAAAGTAGCACGCAAGTTCCAAACTCTACTTTCACCCTCAGCCACACACTTGCTAACAGCAGCTTGATTACATATAATGAATGTTGCTGCTGTGGATGGCAAGAAAAGCTTTATTAAATCATACTACCTCATTAAAATTGACAGTGAGGAAAGTGTGTGAATAGGGGGAGAACGTGCATTCCTACTCTGACAGTTCTTGGAAGCCATGATTCATGCTGCTACTTGCTTTTCTACGCACAGACAGAGGAAAAGCTGGTTTCCTTCAGAATACTTGTTACTATGAAAACTCCTTTAAAATAAGCACAAGTCAAAGCCACATAACTATTTTACATCTATTACTCTGTAACTGACATATTGTAACAATTGAAGCTTCTGCATCCTACAAAATTTGTAAACATTACATCTGTCACAGAGCTTTGAAAAGAATATCTGGCATTACTGATCAGAGAATTGTCCAGGAATTAAAAATAAGCAAACTAATTCCGATCAGAACAGTAATTCCTCAGTTAATGATCAAAATACCCATTAACAGACAATAGGGCACAGTTCCTATAGTTCTACCTTTCGTCAGCACTCCCCTGCCCTGCAGTAACAGGCATCCTACACCCAATCACCTCCTGCACAGCAGAGACCTGCACGTGCTAAAAAGCAAATCGGTGCCAGACTTGCAGCGCGGTCTCTCTCTCAAGAAAGGGCACTGACAGGTTTCCCTCCACCCAGTTTGTTTATCTTCCCCAAAACTGTAGGAATGTGAGAGTCTGAGATCTCCGTCCTTCCTGCAAACATGGCTGCAACTGGTCTGTGACTTCAAAAGCTATTGGCAAATATGTAAGGAAAGAATGGGATAAACAGCATCAATCACTTTCCGTAGGAAATTGGGCTTAAAAGAAAAACAAAAAGCCACCTCCCTTGTTGCTTGTTTCCTGAGCCAAGCAGATTTTGGTGAAACGTTTCCTGATTTCTCACATCTTCAGATCTATGTTTCAAATATTAAAACAAACCCCTCGTGGACAAGGGGCTGGAAAAGTCCCTCCACACACCACCATTTTCCCCCCTAACACAGCCTGAAGCTTTTGGATGACCAAGGAAAACTAAGCCAGCCTAAGCCTCTGGCATTTCTCTGACAAGTTCCATGGGAAGAACTCCCAGTCTCCCACCTGCTCACATCAGCATGAGCTTACCCCCTCAGAATTCACAACCACCTTCCTGCGAGCAGCCACCAAGCTGCTGGAACATTATTATTCCAGAACAGCTTTGCCAGAGTGCATGTGAGTAACATCCACTACTCGAAAGACCAACACCAGTCTCTGACACTGCATTAAACATGCAGTGAAACAGCCACCAAAAACATCAAATACTCTTAAATGCCAGCAACTAATATTTACTACACCAATAAAAGCTTTTATCATCCTGGATGTACTTCACAAAGTGTAAAAATGGTAACTTATGTTTTATTTACTACCGCAGCAGCAGCAGCGGAATTCTTGGAATTGGAAATATGAAGTTAGCTATATTAATGCAATTCATTTTAAAGCGTTCTTTCTTCCTTATTATGCATCTTACTATCTCATACTCAAATATTCTCCAAAAAAATCACTTAATATGTAAAATTGTGTGCTGCTTCTCAGATTTTTGTTAATGCATATTAAGAAATGCACACATTACCATTCCTCTTTCTTCCAAGGGCCACTTGTTACAGGGCTGTTCCTAACATGTTCACAAACTCTTCCTGATGGTACTCATAAGGCAGTGCTGGAACTTGGGAATAACTGTCAGGTCAGCAGTTAATGGGATGCTTATGGGATCAGCCACCTGAGATATTCTCACATACTTAGGGAGCTGCATGCTAAGAACTTTTAGGTTTTACCTACAATGTTAGTATTACATTGTAGACAATACTGTACCCCACTATTAAGCATCTAAAAGTTAGATGCTGTGTTGAATGATAAGCCCACTCTCGGGCATTCCTCTTCTAGGTATCCCATAGCTCCACCACTACCACAAGATGTTAGTAATTCAGTTCTAACATCCAACCTGAACTCCCCCCGGGCACAAATTAAAGCTGTTACCTCTCATTCTGTCACTGTTACCTGACAGAAGAGGCTGACCCCCACCTCACTACAACCTCCTTTCAAGTAGTTGTATTAAAAAATAAGAACCAAAACCAAGCTGCATTGCTCAGCAATACTTCTAAAAAAGTTAGTAGATACAAAGACATTAAAAGGTAACTAGTAAACATAAAACTAAGCCTTCAACATCTCCTGTTTCTGAAGGACTAGAACACTGGTAAGGTTAGTATTCACAATCCTGATGTATATAGCTAAGCTTTTCTCATCAAGACACACCAGAGAGAGGGAAAATAAGCGTTCTCATTTTTGTCCAGCAGCACAGTTACAACACAGTGAGCCAGAACAGAGAAATCACAGCCACTCTCCAGAGGGGTCCAGACCACAGCCTCTCTGCAGGTTCCATGCTGTGCTGGAAGCTGAATCAACTCCTGACCTCTCCTTCCAGCATCAGTCCTCAGAGCAAGTAAGAAAAACTGAGAAGTAAAAGGCTTGCTGAACAGCATGCAGACTCTCTGGGTCCCAACATGACAGAGAAGAGTTCTGGTTTCCATTCCCGAATGACATTTGAAGTTTTATATGGAAGAAAAGACTGAAGAGCTCTTGGAAGAGGCCACAACACAGTTGCCTATCTCCTTCATCTCCAGCTCCAAGAAAACAAGCACCATAGTGTTTTTCTTTTGCCCAGTTAAACTTTAATCACCTTGTAAGCAGTGAAAAGTGGATTTTTAGTGTTTGGGTTTTTCGTTGTTGCTGGGAGCATCTGAGGTTTGTTTTTTTTTTGGAAAGAGACATCAAAAAAAACCAACCCTCCACCTCATCCCTCCTTTGTGCTTCTGAACCAAAGGGAGAGTCACCAGGTTGGCCCGTGTCCAATCCCATAGGTGTGACTCAGGTGCGGTTTGAACATGCCTTCGGACAAGTGAATGCCTAATTTACAGATTGCCTAATTTATGAATACTAAACAGGCAGAGGTGCCAAGATGCTCCGTTTTGACAAGAGCACGGAGGATCTGAGTGAGAACAAAGCTTCAAGGTGCCTGGAAACCTTTTACAGAGACCTGTAAAAACACAGCCAACATATGGCTAAAAGTTCATGCGGGACTAGATATTCAGAACCCATCTAAATCAGTTTTGACTCCTCTCTATTCCTTTTGGGTCTGGCCAGATACCAAAAAAACATGCATCAAAACCTCCTCAGAAACACCTGCAAATATCTTTTTACATCTACAGAACCTCACAATGTTTACATTTCAGTATTTATTTTTAAATTCTCTTAAGATGGATCTTTCTCCAAGAGCCGTTTCATTCTGCTTTAACATAAGGATATTACTCCAACGCCATTTGTCCTGTGGTAGCAGGCTGTCATAACCAGTCAAATGGTTTTAGCTCTAGAACTGAAGCTTTCTCACATACTTAGAGATTATTAAACACTGTTACAAGGACAAAGTATTTGTCACCACTCTTAAGCCTCGCTTGGATACATCTTTATTGGGAAGATGGGGAATGCCCACAGCATCTCCTAAGCTTCATAAGATTCTACTGAAATAGCAGTCCTGAATCTTACACAGTGTACCTACTTCTAATGGATCTATACTGAATAAAATATTAATATTGCTACAGCTGATTTTATGATATAGTCAGCACTGTTCCTCAGAACACCACTGCAGAGTAAGAAACCTAATTCAGTGATTTTAATGACAAAAAGTAACAGCTGGAAAGAGTCCAAAGCAGGCAAACAGTAAGGTGACAAAAGACTCCATGAACAAAATCATGTTGCTTCCACTGAGTATTAAACGCATGGGAACTGCAAAGCACAGTAAAGAAACTTTAAATATACAATTACATACTCTGAAAGCAGCTATATTTAAGAATTTATATTATACATTAAGACTACGGTAAGAGAACATTAAGGCCATAAAATTAAACACTCAGGCATGAGGTATGCCAAAATTAAAGTGGCCTTTGCATTACAAAGGCATTTTGTGGCAGCTGTAGGGTTGAGAATTCAATCCTTCAGGGCAGCAGGCAGCTGCATTAACCATGAGTGTTCTTCCTCTCTTCCTTGCATTTCAATCTTTAACTCCTGCAACAAATGAACTGGGGAACACCTAACAGTTTCAAACTACCACTGAAGCCCATTATCTGAACTAATAGAGCATCCAGCTGCAATTTTGAGCTGCTTTCCCCAGGTGAACCACACAGAAGAGAATGAGAGAGCCTCCCAGTGAGAATGGCTGTGCTCCCTTGTGCCAGCATTACACCAAGGCACTGGAATCTTTCACTTCAGGCTCTGCCACACGACCAAAGGTGCACTTCTTACACCTCCTTCTATTCTGAAGCACAACTGAATTCAGAATAACAACGCTGCTAGCAATTTCTCAGCACTAACAGAAAATAAGAGGCAGCCAAATATTCGTACCTGTATTCATCAACTGCTAAGCGAGGCTGAAGCTGTGCAGCTCTGGACACAGTGCCCCTCTCTGAAGGAGGGGTGCAGAGCTAAAAAGGGGCTCCAAACAATGAAATTACCCACTGATTTAGATTCACAACTATTTTCAACACAAGTCTACTGCCTGTAGTAATAAATCAAGAACTCTACCCTGATACAACCACTTTGTATAAGGAACCCAGAGGGTGATGTTTCTATTGCTAATTTATTAATATTTCAGCCAGAGTTTGACCAGGGCCAAAAAACAGCAAAAGCTCAAAGCTTTTGAAAGCAGTGATTCCCTCAACCAGGCCAATCTAAGAAGATTTATGACTTCAGTGAAATTCTATGCTAACAAGATAATTAACCAACACTACAAATTAAAGTAATTACCGCTCCATTTTTATATTGTTGAGCATAAAAACAGTAAAATTAGTTACAGGAAGGAGTTTATGAGCTCTTTTAAGCATTTAAAAAAATACTCATTGCTTTACTCATATCCTTTATTTTACCTATGTAAGTTAAACTCTTCGAGGTAAGAATATGATGCAGAAGAATTAAAAAACAAGGTATGCCTGAATAACATCTTAAAGTATCAAGCATCAAACCTGGGAGGCTTTCAGGTTTGTTTTTTAACCATGTGGACTGTTTCTTAAAGAGATAACTCTTCACAAAACTCTCACCTCTTCACAGCACCAGCACTCACATTCAACCAAAAACTCCAACCCAAACATTCAGTATTTTATCCATCTGAAAGCAACGTCTTCAGCGCTTTCAACCTTGAGGACCTTGAATGGATACATACATGAAAATCAGTAGCAAGATTTGCAAAGCATGCACTCTATCGAGTAGAATTTCCCTGCTAAAACAATCAAATGCTGCCCGATTTCAAACCCACAGATATCCATAGATAAAACCAGTTTTACTCCTGTGTGATACGATGGAAGTGTGACCCAGCTGCTCACACAGCCCTGCCAGGACTGCCCCGGTCATGGTGTATTTCTCAAGCACTTCCCTCACTAGCACATTTGCCCTAACAATCCTCTTGCCTTCTGGCACACCTGTCACCCAGAGCAATGAGCGAGGTTAAATATAACCACATCAAAAAAAAAAAAAAAGTAGTTAATTTTAACCGGGATCGCTGCCGGCCTTCTGCAGGATGCAGCTCCACGCAGCGCGGTGCTGGTGGGGCTGAGGGCAGTGGGACACGAGGGCCGGCAGTTCCGGTCTGCAGCGCTGCTTGTCAAACCGCGCCACGGGAACACACCTGCTGTCAGCATTTAGGAGATCGGTATCTGTGCTCGGCCACCACGCTACTTAGCACCTCTGTGCGTCCCAGCACGGCTGAGCGTCGCTTTCCTTCTGTCACTCCGCAGGTCAACGTCCAGCGCTCACAGGAGAGCCCAGCCCTTACGAAGATGTCAGTGTAAATACCCCCGGGGAGTTTACAAGCCTCGCTCCTCATGCAAACGCATTCCGAGTTTATGCCCCGGGCCCAAGGTACGAGCCATTTGAAACCGAAACCAACCGGAACCCCGCGGCGGCCGTAAGCGGGCTGGCGTGGAAAGCAGGGCGGCCGGGCTGCGCGCCGACCCGCGGCACTTTCACTGCGCCCAGAGCCAGGGGAGCGCGGAACGGCGCTCAGCCTCGGCGCGCGCGGCAGCGCTCGGGTGCGCACTTGCGGCCACCGCCGCCGAGTTTCTCCGGGGAACGTCCGAAAGCACCGAAGGCTCGAGAGCCGCCTTCCCGCGAGGACCGCGGCCGCCCCACCTGCCGCAGGGCCGCCGCCCGCCGCCCCGCAGCGCCCCGGGCCCGGACGCGGCCTGCAACCGCCCGCCGCGCTGCCGGGAGCGGCCGGGCCGGGCGGCGGGCCAGGCGGGCAGCGCTCCAAACGTGCCCGGGAGTTGTGACAGGAGCAAAGTGGGTCACCGGGCCTAGCGGGCGCCCCGCGAGCGCCCCCCGGCCCCGCCGCCGCCCGCGCCCCGCTCAAGGGCGGCCGCCGCCCTCCCCGCGCCCCGCCGCCGCCCCGGCGTCGGGGGACCCGGCGGCGCCGTCAAACTTCGGCGGCCGCCCCGCGCCGTCCCCCGGCTCGCCCCCTCCTCGGGAGCCCAGCCCGTCGGAGCCGCCCGCCCCGCAGTCGCGCCTCCCTCCGCGCCCCGCTCCCGGCGCGGCCGCCGCCGCCCGCCCGCCCGACCTCTCCCGGCGAGCGCCGCTCTCCGCGCGCAGCCCCTCGCCCGCCGCCGGCACGCAGCCTTCTCCGGCGGCAGCAGCGCCGGCAGCCGGGCCCGCCAATCCCCGCCACCGCGCCTGCGCCGCCGAGCCCACCGCCGGCAGCCGCGGCGCCTCGCGCCACCGCGCGTGCGTCACGGCGCACTGCAAGCCGCGGCACGGCGGCCCTTCGCTCCGGAGCGCCACGTCCGCGCGTGCGCGGAGGGGCGGCGGGCGAAGAGGCGAACTCTCGAGCTAGCAGGTCGCCCTTCCGCGCGTGCGCAAGATCGAGGAGCAGAGCGCGGGGTGCGGTGGAGGGGGGCCGCGCAGGCGCCGTGGGTGCCGCGCCTTCGTGACCTGGGTTCACCTCGCCTCGCCTCACCCCGCTCCGCCCGAGGAGGAAATGGCGGCGGGCGCTGTCTCGGCGGGGAGCGGGGATCCCGGCCCCGCAGCGCCACCCCTGCGGCTCGGAGCGCCAGGCCGGCGGCAGCCCGTGCGGGGGTGAGAGAGCCGGGGGGCGGCGTCCCGCCCGCGGAAAGGGCGCGCTGAGCGCTGCTGCCGCCGCGCGTCGGGGGGACCCGCGCCGTCCCGCTCCGCGGTTCTGCCGTCGGTGTGGGTGAGCGGGCGGAGCTCGCGGGTCGGCCTTCGGCGTCTCCACGTCCCGTTTAGCGCCGGTTTGCGAGGCGGTGTCATCCGTTAGGCGTCGGAAGCGGCCCTGGCAGCATTGGAAACCCCGACGCCTATGGAAATCCTCCGTCTTGCGTCTTCAGAAAATGTTTTATCAGCGCAGGAACGTGCGGCTGCGATTGGAGCAGCAGGACTGTGATAATAAAAGTCAGCTTTCTCTTGTGTGCCTGCGTGTGCTTTCTAAAGCTTACATGAACTGCGGGATGTGATCCTGTCGTGGACTTTGCAGAACGTGCTGCGGAATACAGTTCAGCGAACAGCCACAAACATGGCCATCGTTAATCAGGTGCCTGCAGTGAGGGAAGGGACTTGATTTGGCTCCCAAATCCCAGAGATACTCATTTCTGGACTACTTTTCAGGTAGATTGGTCTCCCTGGTTGAGCTGCCTTGTGGCTGTATGCAGGCAGTGTGGGGGCAGGAAGCCTTCTAGCAGTAATGCTGCCCAAAAGCTATCCACGAGCTTGTGGGGTTTTTCTGTTTGTGAAATTGTGAACAGCACGAGTAAGAATACTTGGAATATTTACAGATTCAAAATACTCCTAGCTTTTGGTTGTGGAAAATCGATATGAATAAAGTGATCATATCGTTACTTAGGTAAAGGGTAAAGTGCTGTGAGGACATGCAGTAAAGGCAATAGGACACAGCAGGAATGGAAGCTCCAGGAGAAGGCACAGAAATGTTTTCAACAAAAAGGTGTTATTGCCAGAACTAGGACGTGGCCAAGAAACCCGCAGGCTAAAGTTAGCATCTACTGCACGTATAGAATTTGACACAAGTAGTGCCAGTAGTAATCCTTCAGGAAAACATGCTGGAGATACGTGCAGTATCTCTTCCCTCAAAATACACCTTGCAGAGAGCAACATCAGCCTGCTGCAGTACCAAATCTCTCTCTGAAGTTTGCATGTCTTATGGTTGCAGATTTGTCAGGCCATGCAGATCACACGCCACTGCACCTTCAGCCTGTCGTAGCCTAACTGAGGCAATGTTTTTTAACGTGTTACCTTGGAAAATATTTTAAGGACTTCTGAAGGAACAAGTAGTAGTTCTGTGAGGTTATTTCCACCTAGAAATGCTGTGTTCCTAACCCTTATTGTCAATGTGAGTTTGCTGTGATGGTTCGAGTAGGGGTAACACAGTTGGTAGATGTCAGATGATGAGGGTGGGTGCTGTGTTTGTCCTCCTCTAACGCTGCAACTGCTTAATGCGTAATGGAGGTTTGCTGGTTTGCTGTGAGGAGGAAGTGGGTGGCAGCACCCTTTTCATGGCAGTCACCTAAGGTGAATACCAGCGTTGCCTAGGGAATCATATCAGACATCGCTGATGACCTGTTTGCATTTAAAAACTAGAAAGGAACTAGTATAAGAGGCAGAGAAGCTATTAACTCTAAAATGCATCTATCCATTCTATTTGAATCTGCAAACTATAAGCTTCCAGCAGAGATACCCGACAGCAGATACCTACTTATATCTACTTTACCCTCCTGGCTAAAAAGAAAACACCGATGTTCCTTTTCTTGTTTTTCTGAGGTACCTTCATGCCAAGTGTTAAATGAACCATTTGTTTTGTTTCTGCATACTGATGCAATAAACCATGTCAAGTCTGTATAAACTTTAGCACACAGGGGTTGTTTTGTTTTCTTTTTTAATTGAGTCATTGGAAAAATTAACTATGAAATCCAATTTGGTTCACCGCTTGCAATAAATAAAAATGCCAAATCAGGAGCGTGGTCACTTTATTCACTGACATAGTTTTGTTTTGCTTATATACACATGGACCATAAACTATTTTGTGAAGCATGTCCTTATTTTTACTGGGAAGGAACAACTGATCCAACTATGTGCATTAGAAGAGTGCAGAGAGAATCCTCAACGCTAGAGAAAATTCTTGCATACCTGTCAACCAACCAAAACTATTGGTCATTACATTCAGGACTAAATCCTGTTTTTATATCACTGTACACATCGTTTTCTTCAGATCAGCTTTTCAATGGGGGGAACTAAGAAAGTGTTTAGAGTAGAATCCCACTGCAGTCATTTCACCGTGAATTAAAGGAGTCAAGCATGCACCTCTGATAGGTAAAAAGAGGAATAAATATGGGTTACAGCTTAAGTGCTAACAGCCTCCTCCCCCTCCTCTTCTATTTGAGCAATTTGTTTGAAAAGAAGAGCACAGGCTCTCAGTGTCCACAGGAGCAATCTCTGGGCAGGGCTTTAATTTACTATGTTAGTTCAGACAGAATCAAAACGAAATAAAAAACAAAAAACAAGTGAAACAAAAGCCCTTTTTATTGTTTCAGACTTTCAAAAGCAATAGAAAGCTACATTTGTGCTAGTTTGATCTGAACAGGCTACCCATGTGGAAAACTCATCCTCAAATAATATGTGGTTTCAGTACATCACTGCTTTTTGTATTGATGTTTTCATGAACAGAAATGTTTTGCATTGATAATGTCATCATATTTATAATGTCCTTTTTGGGGTTTTCTTCCAAGTCACTTTCAATTGCTCCAACTTCTGCTAGCTTCCATTCAAGCTCTGTAACAACAAATGACGATTTATGCTGTTGATTGCAATACATTTTCACTTAAGGGCTTTTATAAACAACCCAGCTCTATCTCAACAGCAAGAAAAAGCTGTTAAATGTTAACTGTGTTAGTGTAAAATATCTATGCTTGCCAAAAAGTCTTTGCGCTACAGGATTACATAAATTATTCTTTGCTTTTTGTCATATTTCCTACAAAAATATTTTGATTTTTTTTTCTTTTAGGCAGCAATCTTTAGATCTAACAATTACAAACAACATAATTCTTCTCTATAAAGTGAATTATTCAGACGAATTTCTCTTACCTTCTTCTTTAAGATACATCCCGCCACATTCAGCTACCCCGATGAACCTGGCTTTTATTTCACCAGTTCTGTATACAAGTATTGTGGGTAAACACCTGTCATGGTAACTCTGGATGCAGCTGTTCACAGAGGCTTTGACGAACTTGGCTTCTGAAAACTTTCTGGCTAACTGGCTGAGATGTTCATTGACTAGCAGGCACATTGGGATGCTAGGAAAGGATAAGAGGGTACAGTCATATTTGCAGTGTAAATGATGCATAAAATAATTAACATTACTAAAATTAGACCTTTGACAAATAAAAGTGCACTTTGGCTTACTCTGTTTCTCCTTCGTGTTGCAGTTAGGTTTGCACCACAGATTCTATTTAGCTGCTTCTAGGATCACTTTGATTTGCCCAAGTAAAGACCTTCAATGCATGCAATCGGCACAGTTCCCAGAACACGTCAGTAAAGCTACCAGGTGCTTCAAGCAAGCATCGTACCTCAAGTTGGTTACGTGCAAAGATTTGAAAGCTCATCTTGTCCATTTATTGCAGGTTTAGATGAAATTTTAAGTCTATAATATGTTTTGCTTGAATTCAGTTTAACATTTTTTCAGTGAAAGCTAAACGTCAGGGAAATCTTTGTATGGCCATATGACCACGACAGGACTGCTCATTACTTTCACAGTATTTGCGGTGCAATCGCCATGTCAGCCTCCGTGACAACAAAAAAAGTGCGGTGGTTTTGTTTCCCACCTGCCCGGTTACCGCTTACACGTCGGGAGCTTGGCTGACACAGAGCGAAGCGCCAGTGGGTACAGCTTACAGGCGCCCCCTGGCGGCCAAAAGCACACGCGGTTACAGTTCGGGGGTAGAGATCTCATATTCAGTCCTAAGGGACTGAGTATGTTTCTCACAGTCTCGTCTGTATAACGAACAAGTCAAGAAGTGATTCTGCAGTGAGCAAAAACAGCGACAAAGAAGAAAAGACGCTTTTTTGATTCTTCAGGTTTGTACATTTAAATTACTGTAATTTGAACAATTTCATTTGATAGCCCTGTTTGTTACTCCTGGAAATAATGCTCAATTCTTGGCAACTGAAAGGAATCAAATAAACTTCCTCCCAACGTGCTTAAAAAGAAGGAAAAGAGAAAGCTGGTCTGAATCTAAACAAATGATGAACATCCCATTCTAATTCACAGTGCTTCTGCAAAACACCTGATGGAGGTGCTGACACATGTTGAACTAATCATGGAAGCCCTTTGAAATTTCTGCTTCATTCTGTCACAACTTCTGTTACTATAACAGAACATATTGGGCAACGGTTGAACTAAGAAATTCCCTCAGCACTTCTGGATTTTCAGAATTGAGACTTTTCCAGTACTGCACTTTCCATTTCCTATAGGAGAAACAGGAAAGTCCTGTGAGAGGCCTTCTGCTGAGCAGTGGGGCTTCAAAGGAAGTTCCCTTAGAACAGAAAGTAGATGACACCTTTTCAGTGAAATCTGGAAATCTCTGAAATTTAGTACACGTTGATATGCATATACAGCAAAAGGAAT